TGAAATGTTTTTATAAAAAGATAGATCCTACCATGAATACAGTCATATCATGCATGTTACGATTTCTCTACTTCATTAAAAAAAAAAAATAGTCATTACAAATTATCTTTAAAATAAAAAAAATTTTAAAAAAATCTTATAATTATCTTGGAAAGATTAAAGGGAAGTTTCAAAAATACCCTTCACCTTATATTTATATATTTTTTCATAAATACCTTTGAAAATGAATGAGTGGGTTGTGAGTTTCCTTATATTATTTTCTTTTCTTTTCTATTTTTATTTACTGATGGATTATATTAGGGGCATAAGCGTAATTGACATTTACCCTTTGACAAAGACATTAGTACCCGTGGACATTTCTATAAAAAAATGTCGAGTGTGGGCCAAAAATAAAAAATATGCATAATTTAAAGGGCATCTATGTAATTAGGTTTTTTTCCCTATATTTGTAAACTCGGAATCACGGGGCCTATTTGCAATACACCTAACATTATCTCTTTCCATCTATTTATTTTGGAATTTTATTAATTTTTTTATTTTTTTTTTTTAAAAAACCCGAATAAAGTCATGCACGGTAGCAATATCAAACCAAATACAAAGAGTAGTGAGACTTAAAAAGACTCGGCGAAAGTTAGGATTTTGGATATGGTTCCATACTTCTTCAAATATCTGAATGGTCGGGCAGCTTAGTGTGTAACAACCCTAAATTTCTACCTACTCAGAGTTGCTACTAACTCTCATTCTTTGTTAAAATGTGTAATCTAACTCTTAAAATGAAACATCATTTTTATTATAAATGTTAGAAAACATTTAAAACATCTTCTGACTTTGGAAAACACTTCTTGACTTAAGTGGTTTCAAACAAAATACTGGAAAACAAATACAAAGTAAAATAATTTATAATGATGCCTAAGACTAAAAATTTAAATATGCATCTGTCTTATGCACGTGCCACAGTCTCTACTCGAGACATCGACGTCATTCGTATATGGGCGCTTTGCTTTTATCTGAGAAATGATATGGCACACAGTCTGAGTATTTCGATTTTTCGAAGAATACTCATGAAGTGACCCCACTATAGGGGTCATGCTAAATGCAATCACATGCAATCATGCTCTAGAGACCTATCTCTATCTCATCTCAGACTAGGGTTGACCTCCAGTCTCAAACTACTATGGATGTGTAGTACTTTCATACTCATGACTCACACGTGCGAATGTGGATCTCCAGGCGGCTCGCACCCCCCCTGGACCCTATCTATCAAGCTAGCTATCTATAGCGACGTCCGGAGGTCAGCGAAACCCCTGGTCTCATGCTTCCCATGATCACCGTGCTCATCATACTATGCGTGTCCGCACTCGTCATCTCTAGGGGAAGTATCCCTATGCTTATGTACATATAACATACATGAGGTCCCTCTAATTTCCATCTTAATATCTCTTCTGATACAATCATTTACTCTTATCTCTGTGTACATACTTGTTGGATATTTATATTAATATCATTTTCATGCTCTTAGGGTTGTGTCCTAGGTCGATCTATCGACATGATGCATTATGACACTCACCATCATATAACATGCTTAATATGAAAAGCATCAACATATTAAGATAAAAGTCATGCAATCATCATGCTCATCATAACGTCATAAAGTGCATCAAGCATATCATGTACGTTATACATCGAAATATATAAATTATGTACATTATATGCATCAATTCAAACATCATACTTATGCATTATCATATCTCATACATCATACAACTATTGTGCGAGATGTTTCTTAAGCTTAACTGTAACACATACAATTTCTAGTCTATCCTATAGTAAGATCACTTACTTGGTTGACCTTGACATTGGCCGAAGTACTCCCTAATTTAATTAACGTAAGCTCCCATTCCAAGAGAGCTGTTTCAAAAGTTTTCGGGTTCGTTTCCTATCACACATTCGTCACCTTTCTTTAATATTTCACAATTAAATGAATAATCAATTAATAAATGTGAAATACGGCTCCAAAATGACATCAATTACCTTAATCGTCGCCGAAAACGGGTCCTGGAGGATCAGAGTACTAGAAACCGGGCTAAAATTGAAAAGTCTAGCTGAAATCAGCCGAGAAGTCGACAATGAAGCTGCTAAGCTGAAAGGCTGCTTACGCCGTTGGGTGACATGTGGCAGCAACAAGGCAAGCCACGCTGTGTAGTGACGTCAGGTCGGGGCGTGGGTTGCAATTCGGGTCACGTTTGTAGGCTAGCTTACTGAGCTTTGGTTTGCGGGCTGGGCCGCGAGTGAGTTTGGCTGCAAGTCGATTTGGTTGGAGAAGAGAATGAAACACCCCTTATAAGGGTGTGGAAACTTCTCCCTAGTAGACACGTTTTAAAAACAAAAAGAATAATGTCGGGTAGTGGTGGGCCTGGACCGTTACAAATAGTATTAGAGCTAGACACCAGGCGATGTGTCAGCGAGGAAGTTGAACCCCAAAGGGGATAGACACAAGACGATGTGCTAGAAAGGTCGCTAGGCCTCAAAAGGGGTGGTAGATTTGGTGCATCGATTGAAGAAAGCAACAATCGCCAGAGGACGCTGGGCCCAAAGGGGTAGATTTTGATATTCCACATCGGTTGGGGAGGAGAACGAAACTCCATATCAGACCCGTTTTGAAAACCTTGAGAGAAAGCCCGAAGAAGGAAAGTCCAAAGAGAACAATATCTACTAGTGGAGGGCCTGAGCCGTTACAGCTTCGGGTAGAACCGTAAAAAGTAATAGTATTTCTTGATTATAAACCCATAATCTATTATTATCGATTGCATATCATAGGCTATAAAACAACGTTTTGTTATTTAAACAAAAATTGATTTATATATTTAGAAAGGAAGTTTCATAAAGTCAATATTTGAGATTGAAAATGAAGCCCATCTTTGAAATGCTCCAAATTTGCTCCGCAAGAAGTGGATGAGAACGTTAGTCTTTTCAATCAAATGGAAACTAAACCAAAAAGAAAGCCTCGATGGAGTCTTTGGTCCAATTCCAATAAATCAACTCCGATATGAAATTGGTTCATTTTAGTCTCGAGAACTTCGTGTCTACCAAGTTTATAAACTTTTAAATATGTTCAATAAGTGTATCAACTTTCAATTTTGTTTATAATCGATCTTAACGTTTTTAAAATTTTAGGTTTTTTAGGTCTCGTTGTTCCTATAATTTATTCAAATTTTTCTTTTGATAAATATAAATTAACAATAAATTTGGTTGGTTTAATTCAACCCAAACTAATTTAAGAGAACGCATGAACTAATGCAATCAATGCATAAAATTTTCATTTATGCAATCAACGCATGAACTAACGCATGAACTAACCTAATCCAATCCGACCCCGACTTAGGTTAATCAAGTTTTTTAGGGTTTAGGGTTTAGGGTTTAGGGTTTAGGGTTTAGGGTTTTTTAACACCCCTATTATCTATATCTTATTTGGAGTAAATCCTTATAAGATGGTACTATCATAAGCATCACGAGAATTTAATTATTTTTTTAAATATCTCACTAATAATCTTTGAACGATAGTTTTATTCTTTGCAACGAATCACGAGTCGATAATATGAAATCTATTACGATGAATGCATGACAACATCGTAAATATATAAATATAAAAAAAAAAATTTAAATACTAAAAAAAAATGTACCTAAAATGTTGACAATGGAAGGTAAAAGATATTTAGAGTATTAAAACAATTAATGTTGACCAAATAAAATTTGATGATTAAGATTTTTCTCAAATATGAAGAAAGGTTGGGTTTATAGTTTTGATGGCTAATGGAAAAGTCCTCAACTTTCCACAAATTCAAACCTAAGTGCAACATAATCTTCCCAACCTCATCTTTGTACCCTCGTTCGACGTGTTTGACGTGTTCGTAGGTTAGATTGGATTTAACGTTTTTCAAGATCGAATTACGATGAACTCAACCCAACCATAAAATTTTTGGGTTCGATTAGCTCTAGTTGTTTGAATTATTTATTCAAATTTTTGTTTTTAATAAAAATAAAAGGTTAATTCAAAAACAAATTTATTTATTTATTTATTTTCAAATATTATTCCCGTTAAAAATTATTTTCAAGAGTGACTGGAGAATAAATAATTAATTAAAAATATGTATATATACTCGATAAATTCACAAAAATTCATTTAGTTAGAGTTGAGCTTAAATAAGTTCACGACCCAATCCAAAGTCTCGAAGGAATCCAGTTGTATTTTTTTCTATTTTATTATTTTTAATTTCTATTATCTATGTATTGGACGAATATTGAAATTTGAATTTTTAGAAACTACGTTGATAAAAAAGTTTCATGCAGAGAATCGGATCGCCACACATTACGAGAAATCTCTGTCTCGAACCGCAATAATTAAGAAGTATTATGAAAATAAATAATGATGATTATATAGAAAATAAATAGAGATTATTTAATTGATTAACTTTCCAAATCTCATTCAAACCAACACTAATCTTTTCATGTAGAACAAAATACATCTTTTTCAAACCCTTTTCACTTTACAAAAACACAAAAACAAAAAGGGTTCAAATTTTTAAGCAGAAATATCCAAATCTTATGAACATTTGGAACAATTTCAGCTATTTCTAAGAACCCAGATGAACAAATGATAAAAAAAACAAACTGTTCATAGCAAAGAACTCAAAAACACAGTTTTGAATCACAGCCTTTGATTTTGAAACCAGCGGCTTTGATTTGAACACAAAAACTAAAGCCATCGTGGACCGAAAATGGGGGAAGAAGAGTTTGGCGAAGCAGCAATATGCTTCAGTTTGTGTTTCAATATGCTGTTCTTCCTTCCATTTCTCTGTTCATAGTGCTATTCAATCCACCCATAACAAGCGTTTTCTAATCAAAATGCCTTTTCCAAGTCAAAAAAGTTTGGTTTTCAGCTCTCTATATATACTTAAATTTGGAGTTTAACTTCAAAACGGATCCCAATATTGCATAAGTGTTCTTCTTTTTCACACTTTTTGTGTAGAAAGTGAAGAAAAAACATTAAGAAAATGCATCAACCAACCCATTTCCTCATCTTTTTCATATCATTTCCCCTGTTTTCTCTCTGTTTTGGCAGTTTCCATGAGTACCCACTTCCTGTTTCTCAATATCATGATCATATTTATGGTCATTATCCGAAACCCAGATGGAACACGGGTTTTTATGGCTCGACGATGACAACGACAACGAGGCAGAATCGAGTAAGCTCGCTTTCGGGTTCACCAAAGATCGTGAATGTGGATGATTTTGGAGCTAAGGGAAATGGACAAGATGACAGTAAGGTACACTCCAGTACAAACTTAAGCCCGTCGATAGCAGATATTGTCCTCTTCAGGCTGTTACGCCTTAGGTTTTGTTTCGTTGGTTACTCACAGTGTTCATGAATGCATGTTTTAGGCATTTGAGCTAGCTTGGAAGGAGGCCTGTTCTTCTAGTAAGGCAATGATTTTGGTGCCTAAAGGCAGGACATATTATCTTAAGCCAATAACTTTTTCAGGTCCTTGTAGTTCTCCTTTAACATTAAAGGTGAGAGTATAAGCATAATTTTCAATATCATATTTTTGGAAAATTTTGTGTTCATTTCTTTGTTCTTCTCATTGTTAGATCGATGGAATGATCAAAGCTTCTCCAAGAATGTCAGATTATGACGACGATCGACGACATTGGCTTAAATTCGAAGGTGTCGACAACTTTGTTGTAGAAGGCAATGGTATCATCAATGGAAATGGCAGAAAATGGTGGCAAAACTCTTGCAAAGTGAACAAAGAACTTGTAAATCCATCACTACTTTAAACAAATATGTCTCATATTATCAATATCATTAGCTGATGATTGTTTTTGCTCTTGGATTCTTTTGCAGCCTTGCAGGGGAGCACCGACGGTTCGTCGCTATCCTTATGATCTTCGAAAGCGTTTTCGACGTCGTTTAATCGAAAATGTTCATCTTGTTTTTGTATGTGCAGGCTGTAACTTTCTACCAATGCATCAACTTGGTTGTGGCTAACCTGAAACTAGAAAATGCACAGCAAATGCATCTGACCTTTCAGAAATGCACCAATGTCAAAGCTTTGAATCTCCGGGTTGTCGCCCCGGAAAATAGCCCCAATACGGATGGAATTCATGTCACGGAAACTCAAAATGTTATAATAAGGAACTGTGTCATTGGAACAGGTGAAAAAAAGTTGGTCAATTCAAATAAAATGAAACAAATTCTATACTTTGTTTATATGATATCTCATATTGATTGGGGAGAACGAAACACACTTTATAAGGGTGCGGAAACCTTTCCCTAACAGACATGTTTTAAAGCTTTGAGGGGAAGTCTGAAAGGGAAAGCCCAAAAATGACAATATCTGCTAACAGTGAACCTAAGCCGTTACAGTTTAGCTAAAGGGTTGATTTGAAATCGGTTTTTTTTTTGTTTTTTTTTTCTTTTAAAAGGGGATGACTGCATTTCTATTGTAAGTGGGTCAAGAAATGTTAGAGCAGTGGATATCACTTGTGGGCCAGGACATGGAATTAGGTACTCATTCAGCTGAATTTGAAGCATTTTTGTAGTGTTTAGTGATGTTTTTGTCTCATGTTTTGAATGTTTTTGGTTTGGTTTTTTGTTTGCATTTCAGCATTGGAAGCTTAGGAGCTGGAAACTCAGAAGCTGAGGTTTCAAATATAAGAGTAGATAGAGCATTGATATCAGGAACCAGCAATGGGGTGAGAATAAAGACTTGGCAGGTACGTGAAGCCTATAATTTGTATCGTCGTCAGCCTTACAGTTTTAAAATGTCTCTACTAGGGAGAGGTTTCCACATCCTTATAAGAAATGCTTCGTTCCTCTCTCCAATCGATGTGGGATTTCACAATCCACCTCCCTTGGAAGCCAACGTCTTCGCAGGCACACCGCGTGGTGTCTAGCTTTGATACCATTTGTAACAGTCCAAACCCATCGTTAGCAAATATTGTTCGCTTTGGTCTGCTACGTATTTCCGTTAGCCTCATGATTTTAAAATGTGTCTATTAGGGAGAGGTTTCCACTACTTTACAAAACATTTATTATTGGCCTAACACCGGATATCCATTTCCTCCATGTATCATTAAAATTAGAGCAATTGTAGCTTTTCCTACCTCCACTTGAACGCTGGAGGTGATTTGAACACCAATGGCTGTTCGTTTGGTGTCACTGATGGGTCCATTACTTGTTTAGTGGGTGTAGTTGAATGCTATTTGTCAAAGTTAAAAGCATGTGTTCAAACCAATTAACTAGAGTAAAGAATAACATAACAAAGTTAATTCAGTTGGTGTAAGAAAAAACGAACTATATATTTTGTCTAAAAAGAACCTCTCCGCTTTCAAAAGTTTCAATGATATTTTTAAAACTTTTTTAAAAGTTTCAAAATTTATCAGTTTTGAATGGAAATTGTAGTAATTTGTTTAAAAATACCCTTTTAACTTTAGAAAATCTCGTTAATATCCATCAAAATTTTTAAAAGTTCAAAAATACACTAACCATTAGTACCATGTTTTACCGTTAGTTTATGGAATTTCTTTATTAATAATTAATTTTTATAATTGAAGGGAGAAATTTCATCCCTTATATTCTATATTACACCTAAACTTTCTATTTCGAAAATTTTCATTTGATTTTACAAGAAAGTTGATTTTGCTTTGCCTTTCCAACTTTGATAATCAATGGGGTATGTGCAGGGAGGCTCTGGATATGCTAAAAACATCATGTTTCAAAACGTTGTCATGAACAATGTGCGCAATCCAATAATTATAGACCAGAATTACTGTGATAAAGAAGAGTCATGCCCAGAACAGGTAAAACATTGAGCCCTAAATCTTTGATCTGCTTTGAACTGAACTTTATAGATACCTAGAAAACAAGAGCACAAGAGTTATTTAGGTTTGTGTTGCTCTCATGGATGCAGAATTCAGCAGTGAAAGTAAGCAATGTGGTGTACAAGAACATTAGAGGAACAAGTGCTTCTGATGATGCCATAAGGTTTGATTGCAGCAAAAGCTCCCCTTGTCAAGACATTTCCATGCTTGGAGTTCATCTAGTTAGACAAGGAGATGATGTTGCCACAGCTTCCTGCGAGAATGTTAGGTTGAAAAATAGATGGAAAGTTTATCCACAGTGCTCCTCATAAGTTAGAACACTTTGGTCAGAAAGGACAGTTGTTCGTGAAGATTTCTACAAAAATATCCCTAAAGGCTTGACTTGTCTCGATTACGAAGAAGCCTTTGACCTGCTTCCGTAATTGTCCTTCCTTTGTTGAACTATATATATTTATAGTATTATAGTATCCTAGTATTCGAACCTTGAAAAAGGCAATACCAGTATTGCCTTACCCATTGAACTATGTTCAAGTCGACCCATTTTACACTTCTATACACATATATATAATGCATTTTCTTTTTCCATATGTTGTATTTTTCCTCCAAGCAATTTCATTCTGTGATCGAGTAATTATTGCTTGTAAGAACAATTGTAACGGTCATGTATTGTCACAGCACAGCAATCATGATGCTCAGGCTACTTTAGAGATTTTAAGTATGATTTCTCACCACCTACCACAAACCATTATAAGCATTATTAATATTGATATGTAACCTAAGGGAGCAAATAAATATGCATTCTTCCCCCAAAAGATGGATCAGCAACTAGATTACAGCATCATCCATGGACTAGAATCAGAAGGAAGAACAGGCAGCCAATTCTACTCTAGTTGCAACAGATTTTGAAGATGAATGAGCAGTTTACAAGGGCAATTTCTTTGATTACCCACAATAAATATGTAAAGAATAAGTGAAGAATGTTTTCAAAGATTGTTATGTTATACATGGTTTAAATAATGTTACAAAATTAAACCTCTAATACTACCTTTTGCTCTCTATCCTCGTATGGAGGAGGCATCAATCTAAGCGTATTGGCAAAAAGATCTTCACGTCCTGATGGAGGTTCTGCTACAGGAGCATCCAATATATAATCTGGAATGGCCACAAGTGTTTCCTCGAAAAATGATTTGATGGTCTACAAAGTCCAATAGCAGTTCACTTAGAACCCCAATAACAATGCCAGCGAAAAATCTCGGTGATAGAAACGTGAAATTTGACGATATTAAGTTGTAAAAATGAAAATCAAAATGAAAAATCCTATGAAACTGTTGAAAGGAAGCAGAGGAAAAATACGCCATGCATTCCATCAAAATCTACTGAACGATATTAAGTTGAACCTATTCTCTTCCAGCATATTTTAATACCTTGCAATGCTGAAAAGCAAAATCAGCTTTACGCTTCCATGGACCATTTCCAGGATCTGTATAAAAGAGGTGAAGCAACGGCTGCAGAAGCAGATAAAGGAGAATTGTAAATGACCACACCAGGTATTGTATGGGGGTGGGGGTGCGTTTTGCTAGATTCCAATCAGTATTGATTAAGAAACAAAATAGCAACTTATAAGACATGACGGATAAAAGAGGTCCTAGATTGGTATAAGGCAATAAAAGCACAAAAATTATCAGTGAAACGAAGATGGAGAAGCAAAAGAAGACGATAATTCAGCATGCTCTGCCATAGTTGATGTATGAAATGGCTAACCCACCGAAATACAGAGTTTCCTCCAATTGGCAGTAATCAGGGAGGGCTCCAAGTTACAAAAATGCAATAATGGAAATAACCTTAAAGGGACCTCAGTTTAATCAATCAAGTGGGACTCATCATGGATTTACGCCCAACCTAGAGATCCAAAATGCAATAATAATATTACACAGTGCAAATCTTTGACCATGGAATCCACACGGTCTAATCTAGTGAACAAATGCTATTCCAACACCTTAATAATCATAAGTCCTACTCCCTTAATAGTGCTTGGTCTCCCAAATCCCACATATGGCACAAGATAGTGAGAGAAGAATACAGAGTTCATGCCCACATTTAAAATTACTGAAAATAAGTAAAGTTAAATTAAACCCAACCCCATAAAAATGTTCAGAACCCCAACCCACAATCAAAAAAATATAGTTAAGAAATACATGGCATATAAAAGAAACAAGACCAACTGAAAACATAGGAGACAAAAATTGTGTTTTGAACAAAATTAACAAAAAGGCTGTAAACCACCAATAAGATCTTACCTTCACAACATCACGAATATTTGGTTTATTTCCATATGTACCCAAAACAGAATCCCCATAAACTTGATATTGTTCAAGGACCTAGCAGATGGAAAAGTTTACAGCTAAATGAGATAATAGTGAACTTTCAAGCAGAAGGATACATTTCACAGCCAACTTTAATATTGTACCTGACGACGGGTGATACCACTGCTAGGCGCACCATAAATTGTAGTGTCTACATGTCCTAAAGTACGCCAAGGGCTATGAAGGATAAATAACAGCCATCGTTCAAATTAAGGAAAGACATAACCAACTCTGATAGAATAATGTTCATACCAAGATATTGTTGGAAAGTACAAATATTTAACCAAACTAATAACGTCACACTTAACTTCAATTTTAATAAGTTAAATAATATATTTAAAATGTCTATATTTAAAAAATAAAAAGAACACTCTATGATGCCATAAGTTCTAAAACTTTTATTTTTCACTATAATAACATCACCTTAAACCGGCCTCCACAGACAGATATAATCAGATATTATAGAAGAATTCTAATTTTTAAACACGGAACCCAATAGTCGCTCAAACTTCAGGTTCTCTTATACTGGTAATGGTTGGAGCTAGCTGTGACTATAGAGTTATCTTATACCTTGAGAAGAATGCGAGAAGTTGCCTATACTTATTTGTGATATAAGCAAACGAAAGAGGGAAAAGATGGTAATTTCCAAAATGTGCATAACATACTTTTGGTAAGCAGCTCGTCCCATCATTACACCATGAGCTCCGAGCCTGAGAGCAGCATTAACCTGTGTGAACACATTTAAAATAAACATTAATTTATGATAATGCATGGAACTCTCAGTCCATGGAAAGCAATTTATCACATTTAAAATAAATAAACATTAATGTATGCTGCCAATTTACCACAAGGAACTTTCATTCCATGGAAAGCAACTCCCAATAAACGAGCTTTGGGTCAATAAACCGTGTAAATTGGTCATTGCAAAATTATAATGCAATGCAAGACATAGAAAAAAATGAATGTATCCACTATAACTTTGTTTTATCAGTGGAGACCACATCATGTAAAAAGCTATATAATCTACTAGGCTAGCCCCTATTTTGCCGTGATTTCAATATCTATTAGTATGCTTTTCTAGTTTGGGGAAATCCAATTTCTGATACATTAGGGCCATTTACAGATGAGCAGAAAAACTCACCTCATCAACAGTGTTAATGCCCCCATTTATTGTGAATCTCAAGTCTGGAAAGTCACGCATCAGTGCATAGAAATATTCATATCTGTGACCACGTCAGTATTATAGAGCATGAAAGTCTGTTCTTAGTCATTATTTTACAGATAGTTAAAAATATTATATGGTCTTTGTTAAAATACTTGAACAAAAAACAACAAGCTCTCTTTAAGCTTATAGAATGTTATTGAGAACCCATACTTCAAGGGAGGAATATTTCGATTTTCAGCTGGGCTAATACCATTGAGCAGTGCCTTGCGGGAATGGATTATGAAATGCTTAGTTGGAGACAAAGAAGAAACTTTGTAAATAAAATCACCTGAAACAAAAGAAACTGGACGTGAGAGGAGAAATCAGCAACTAAGAAGACACATAATAATGTAACAAAAAACTAGAATGCCTTTTCAGAAAGAATATTCAAAACCTCGGGGCCTCTTGAAATTGTTAACACATACTGACAATATATATGCTGAAAACTTCAAATTTCGAACTCCAAGCATAAATTAGATATCCTTGAGTTGACCTAGCACAATTCAGGATCTAAGATGGTTTATGACTGTATTCCAAAGGAGTTTCTCCAAAGAAGTTTTTCTTAGCCATCATATGTTTTTCGCTACCAAGTATAAAAAGTTGTCTTTCATGAAATGGAAAAAAATGAAGGTGTGGGTGGAAAAAGTCTTCTTCCTTTTCTTTTTCTTTTTTAAAAAACAGACTAGATTCTTACTCATAGGGTGAAAAAGTAAAAAATAATAATAATAATAAATAAATAAAGGAACAAGGAATCACAGCCTAAGGAGCTTAACAAAAGCTGCTCCAAGAAAGATAACTTCCACTCTCAAAGATTATATTAAGAGTTCCTATAAGGTATCTATAACTTATAATGTTACCAGTTCATTCACTTCAATGTGTAGTCAAAGCCACCTTTAAGCACAAGAAAGATATTAAGACAGGAAAGGACACAAAATATCAAACAGTCAATTATTGTGATGATGCTCCACAGGGGAAATAAATAAAGATGCTAATCATAAAATGGCAAAACTAACCTTACAACATGACTATGTTTATCTAAACAAAGAAGTAGTAGTCAGTACTTTCTAATCAGAGAAAAAAGACTAGAAACCTTACAAAGTTCATTATATGAATCATGGTCATCGACGCCAATTCGACATTTCACGCTTACAGGAGCGTCAGTGTTGGCAGCAATTACTGACATAGCTTCACCAACAAACTTTCCTTGTCATCATGACAAGCATAAGTTAGACACATCGCTGAAGAAAACAAAATGGGCAAGATGACTGAAATCAAAATATAGCCAGCATACAGCCAGAAACCTTAGGATCCAGCATAAGGCGAGCACCGAAGCACCCATGTCCAGCCACCTTTGGACTTGGACATCCACAGCTGAAAAATAGTTTCCAAAAATTATAGAGAAAAGAATCAATTGTAGAAACTAAAACTGGAAAAATATGAAGAAGATAAGTAAAATACACACTTCAAATTAATTTCATCATAGCCGTAAGGATTGGCAAGTTCAACAGCTTTTGCAATGTTATTCAAATTGTTTCCTCCAATTTGCAGGACAATAGGATGTTGGTCTGGAGAAAATGCTAAAAACCTGTCCTGTACAAAATAAAGAAAGATTACATGAAAAAATGGTCAAAACATAGACTGTTGAAGCATATCATATACATCTCAAGTTTGATCATGAAAAGATAGGGACATTGTCACGTGCCTCCAACACCAACCAGATAAAATATGCAAGTTACAAAGGTAGAAATAAGATGGTAAGTGGCAACTCTTCTTTGAGAAAAATAAAACACCCTATAATTCTTCACTCTTACCTATCATAAATTAGTCAACAGTGAAGTCCAACTTGGCTGATAATGAAACAAACAGGATATGAGGTCAAGCTAATTTGGAAACTAAGCTGATTCACACAATGACAGGTAAAAAAATAGTAGTCTACTGTTAAAATGTTCAACCTGATTAGAGAATCCCATAATTTGAAAAGACCACCACACCGTCACTATTGCTGACCAAATGTTGGTAAAATGAGAGAAAACCATGGTCCAACTCAGACTATCACACATGAAAGCTGTGGGATGTTGAAGGATTCAGGGCCAGGAAGTTTTGTTAAGGCAACTGGAGGAAAAGCTTCTCATAAGGGTGGGGGAAGAGGGAACAATTAATTATTCACTAACTCAGCCTATTCACATGGAGGCAATACGCTTGCAAGGTTGAG